AGAGCCACTGTAATTCTCCCCATAGGCAACTGCATGTGTAATGGCAAAAGTTGAGTTTGAATATCACTACCCCCAACATTATATCAGAGACAGAAATGTAAGCCAATGGGAGTTAGGCACCCGGTACTGACGCCTTTAAAGTCTCCTACTCGCCTATCAAATGCTGAGGTGATTAAGGGGAAGGGCATGTAATATCCTAAAGCTCTGCTTGTTTTTGTAAACAACTCTGAAAGTTCATGTGCAGTTCATCTCTTTTTATAACACATATTTAGACAGCCACAGTTTTGGCCATTTTTCATTTTCCAACTGCGGGCACATTTCTGCACTGTAGCACCTGCTCACTTCTGGATTTGATACTGAAGCAGTGGTGACATGTGTCAGCAGACACTTATCCTCTCTAACCGGAGCTTCAGGCATGGATATTTTTGGTTGAAAGAAAGATCACTGGATCCTGGAGAAGTTGATCTTTCTAGTATCAGGGAATTTTTCAGTAAAAGTAAAAATATATAAAAAGGTACCTTCTCTGAGTATGCAGAAATTTTTCTAAATAGGAAAGAAAATATTTCTCTGGTTGCAATAAAAGGAAAAAGAAAGCATCTATATTCTAAGTGACAAAAATTTGTCTGACTTATTTCCAATATATAATAAAACGAAAGTATCAGAATTAATCTATATTTTCAAGATCTTTATGAAAGGACGTGGAACACATGTCCTGGAACACCCAGAAATCAGAAATTTAATCTTTCAGAGAAACTAAGACAATCTTGAGCCTGAAATTTAGTAACCTTTTTTTGCAAGGATAGAATATTAATCGCGGTATCCAACCCAAATTCAGATTTTAATACTTCTACTCCACAGAACAAAATTTGGCATCCATTTCAAGCAGATTTTGCTTATTTTAAGTTCCTTTCATTAATAGGCTCTGCAGCTTTTTTTGTGCACTTTTATGTAAGATTTTAATATTTACTCTGTAGTGTAATGTGTTACCACATTTATTTTAATATCCCTGTTAGCAGCAGTAAATATTACATCTCCTGTTTTTATAGGGCTTACGCAAGTCCCTGGATGTGCTTCAGCGGAGCTGGATTTCATCAGTGAAATGCCTGAAATGCCTTCAGCTGACTTGTACAGGTAAGCTGCAGCGATCTGTGAGAGCAAACGTACTTTATAAAGGTTAGCTACATACATATTCTTGCTCAACATCTGAGCTTTTTGCTATAAAAGCATACTTCAAAATATTAATCCTGCTTTAATTAAGAAGAATCTATGATTTGTTGTTGAAACACTTTTCCTTCACTTGCAAAAAAAATACATATATCTGGTTTACCCAGCATCCTCTCATCAGGAGGATAACAAACATTTCTTTATTCTGCAATGCCTCTGCTATTGCAGCTCACTTCAAGAAGTTCTTCTGTTTCAAAAATGGGATTTGTGAATCCACTACCAGTATAACTGATACTGATAGGCAATGTGCCAGGTAACGTGCCATATAAGAGCAAAATCACCCATTTTTCTTTACTGCTCTTCTGAGTTGCACACTATGCAGCAGATAAGCTAATGAATCAGCAGTGCTCAGGTTGGCCTTTCTCTGCCTGACTCCCACACACTCCCGCTAGAGGATGCGGATGTGTTCAGCTGAATTTAACTGCTTATCTCTGAAGTAGACTTTGTCCATCACCCCTATAAATGGGGAGAATCTGCAGCCTTTCTTGACAAGTAGAACTGTCACATTTGTGAGACCGAGCCACTTCAATTCAGCACGACACAGAAGACTTATTTAGCTAAATGTTATCTTCTGGCTATCAACAGATTCTGTACTGATTTTATTAGCTTTCTCAGCAACTGTTAAAATAAAGAAAAATGAAGGGTTGTGCACTCCTCTGCAATATTTGATGTGAAACAAATGAGCAAATCCAGTCTGCCCCTTAAAGCTGGATGCAGGACATGAAAAATAACTTTCATTTCTCATTGGGATTTTTCTGTATCAAGGGTTGCAGGGTTCCTGTTTTGCTCATCACAGATTTAAAAACTGTGGGGATACGCTAAAATGATTTTGGATGCTTCAGGATCCCTTCATTTCAGGTTGTAGGCTATGCAACAGTTCCTTAAATGTCTCAGCTCTGACTTGCTTTCTTGATGCCTGGCAGAAGTAGGATGAGGAAGGTTTGGTTCACGTAAAGTAAACGAACCATACGCAAGAAAAATTACTGTGACTAATCAGTGGGGTTATAATTGTCAGTCCTGTACAGAGGGTATGTCCCACCTGCCAACTCGATAGATTCATGTACACTTTAACTGATTTCTAAGAAAGATGCAAATCTTTTCCAAATAACTTCCAAAATATACTTGATGTATGAATACTGTGCTTTAAGCTTTTTTGGCAATTTTACAGTAGTACCGTTACTGATACACCCAGTGTAAAGCAAACCCTTTCTCATCATCTTTATTACAAACAAGCTGAGAAAGGGATAAATGTGTGGGTTAAAATCTGAAAGCCCACAACTTCAGATCAGGTTTGAGCATGATTTGTTGTACTCTTTGGGACTGAGACAGTAATATTAAGAAAAAAAAAATATTTTCTTCCCCCAATAGCAGCAGTAGAACAAAAGAAATTCAAAAAGCCAGTGTTTTGCTAATATTTGATTCATCAAGTTGAAGCCTACAATTATCAGATTTTAATGTTCAAATTGCAAAGCCTTTGGAAAAAAAAAATCTCAATTATTGAAATAATCTGACAGAGAAAAGTAGCAAAAAGGATGTCCCCTCAGTGACTTCAGTGCTATCTTTAAGATCACAGAAGTTCACAGTGAAGGGAAGTTTACAACTGACCATATCTCACCATAACAGTTTCTAATATGTGCAACTCAACTTTAAGGCAATTGAGCACAAGAAGCTCTTCAGAATTCTGTTGCACCTGACTTCCTCTTTACCCAGATGAAGGTAAAAAATTCTCTCTTTACCTATATATTGATCATTGTTTTCTTTACCTGCATCTCAATAACCACAAAGTAAATAAGACAAAATTCCCAGATAGGAATAACTGTTTGGATTAAATGAAGGTTCAGTGATTTAACTGATGAAGGCTACTATACTTGTAGAGAATACATGGAAGGAGAGCTAGACAAATGAGGAAAAAATGAAAGTTTTGTTTAATGCTGAATGCTGTGAGTTCACTACCTTTTCCATTCTCATAAAAAAAATTCTGCTGGCTAACCTCTGCTTACCTATAAGTGGTTTCTCTCAAAACATTGTCTCTGCTGTTTCATACAGTGGGCTACAGCTCTCAGCAGGAATTTTTATCAGATGGAGCGAGACATGAAGATGAACTCTTCTCATATGGGAGCAGGGTTAAGTGAACAGTATGAAAAAGAATTCATATTGCCAGTTAGTAAAGCAGCTGCTTTATTTATTACCACTTATTTATTGTTTTGGCACCAGACAAGGCAAATAGCATCACCACCCACAGTTCAAGTAAGACTGCAGTGTGGCCGCTTTTCTAGAGCACACAGAGATTGCAGCCAACCTACATCTCTCAGCAGACTCCTTGCTTGCACTGCTAGACTCCTCTTCCTTGTATATCTAATTCTCAGAGGCCCCAGCTCCTCACCACATTTCTACATACAAGTACTCTGTATCAGCCATTCTTATTCTGTCCCCTCCACGGTGTCTAATCTACATAACACAGTGCTGATATCAAAACCATAGAAAATATATATGAACTGTGAAATACAGTTACAGAATACATATGGTTTTACTTTTCATTGGCTAGAATGCAAGTTATTTTTCTGGGAGTGGGAAGAGGAAAAGCACAGACTCCTCATACCCACTCCTCATGTTTCCGTTTTTCTTCTGATTTGGTGCAAATTAATGAATATTACATTGGTTCCAGCCACTCGGGAATATTTCATTCAAAAATAAAAAGCAGAGAAAGTGAAAAATATTCTGTTTGCTTACCTGGAACACTATGGTGAGCAGGTTTCCTGTTCAACTGGATGATTTTTTTTTTCTTTCGCACTTGTAGGTGTCTGTTTCGGTTTTGGCAAACAAGTAGTCTTCAGTGTTTTTACAGCAGTGGATATTACAGAAATTATGTCTCTTGCACGTCTTATCTTGGAGGGTGGACAAAATAAACAAACTGAAAATAACACTACAATGAACAGCAAAAGATGAATGGGTTACAGTACAAAAAACAGTGTAAAAAGGAAGACAAGTTTAAATATTGTTGTGTATGAAAGGGATGAAAATAATACAAGGATGAGAATAAGTAAAATGATAGGCTGGAACATCTGGGAAAGTAAATACAAAGACAAAGAGAACAGTCAATTAATGGAATACCAAGTCCAAAGTTTTTAAAAAATAAGTAGTGATTCAGATTATGCTTGTAGAGGGACCAAGTGCCCATCTCCCATTGACTTCAGTAGGAGTTCTGCATGGTTAAGCCCTGAAACGCCGATTTAACTATTGATGTTATTTGTTTAGAGAAAATACCAATTGGATTGCTTTAAATTTGTATGAACCCATGCAGTGCTCTGCCTCTGAGTTAATGGGAACTCTAACAAGCTCAGAACTATTGCTAGATCAGAAAGTGAGCATGCCAAATGTCTCTTCTGTTTGATTTCATGCAGTACATGTATAGTAATTGATTAACTTTAAACTCACTGCGTCTGTGACTTTCTGATACAAGAAAACAAAAGACTAATTAGTCAGCATAGGGACAAGAAATAATAGCTTTCAGCTTCACCTGGCAACTAATTTAAAATTGCAAACTAGCAGGACAGCACACGTAAATTAACACAGCAAGAGACTTACTAAAACTTCAGGATAATACTGTGACCAATAACACCATTTGCCAACTATAGGATTGCATAATAAGATAATGAGAGGTAATTTTCATTTTTCACGGCAGAAGATCTTGAGTCAGCAAGGAATTTGCTCCCCAAAACCTCTCTGGGACAACTCTGCACGTCACATGCAGGATGCTTGTTGGCTCTTTCCTTAGGGGATAAGAGAAGAATAAAAAAGAACTGCAGAAAAGATGCTAGTCACCGTTGCGTGTAAGCAGTGACCCATAACCTTTCAGTGAAAGATACAACCAGTTACAGCAATTCCAATAGTACCAGTATTCATCACCACGCAGTCCATGTAGATTTTTCATGGTTTTTTTTTTTTTTCTGTGGTTCACTATATTCTTTGTAATTTTAGAAATTGAATATTTTCTAAGTTTAAAATTAATAAGATTTTTTTTTATTCATTTAACAAGAACCCAACGACTATGAAAAAAAACACGTTCATTAATGTGCTAAAAATGCTATCTGCATTGTCTTTACTGGTAATCACTGCAGCTTGATTGCCATTAACTCTGGCGACTACAGTTGCAAAGCCAGAAGGAGGAAAGTCTTCCAGCTCCTACAAGAATTGTATCTATACTATAATTCTTTCATTTTCATAGAGATCATTTGTTCACCATTTACAAATAGGTCCCATGGTAGAACAAATTTGCATATAGCCAAATAAGGATTTAAAAATAATTTAACAGAAATTTTTGTCCAAATTCTAGTTTAAGAATTTTAAGGTGCCATACATCAAATTTTAGTCTTAATTCTTTTGGCCAAGGTTTTTTACCTGTAGGCCATAATAAGTAAAAGTCTACCTGACTCACTGACAAAGGTTCGTCCGCACTCCGATCATCCGAAGACTTCGGAACTTCGAGTCTGTCGATGAAAGTCTGGAGTTCTTTCCTGAACGCCTTCATCTGCGCATTGATCCTGTAAAGGAGCTCATGCTCGCGTATCCTGCTGCCATCATCTTCCTCATCCATCAGTCCAAACAGGTCCCCATTAGCTACATAAATTCTTGCCTCTGTTATGATGGTGCTTGTGTCGGAAATCAAGCGATCTATTGTCTTGCCCAGTCGCTCAGCTTCACAGCGAATGTCCTTCATCTGCTGCCTGTCAGTGAAGCTTTTCTGCCACCCAGATGGTGTTGGATAAAAAGATCTCGTGGGTGTCAGGCACCGAATATTTCTCACCTCTTCTGAGTCACTTTCCCCACCGATGGGCCCTTCCCTTTTGCGGTGAGGGGGACGGGAATCATCATCGCTCTCCTTTTTTCCTGCATCACTTTCTGCATCACTGTCTCTGGGGCTGCCACGGATCCCAAGATGAGAGGCTAAATCATAGCGTTGCATGTTGGACATAAGCACTCTATTCTCATACTGGAGTTGCATGACTTTGCCACTCAGCTCATTGATCTGCATTCGTGCAGCTTTTAGCTCCTCCTGCAGTGCTTCAGTCTTGGCATTATCGTGGTGCCTAGAGCTCTCGTGGGCTCCGGACTTGTATTTGTATTTGTTCAGCTCAGCCGTTATGCGTTTGTTTTGTTCTTCCAAGTCAGCTACATTTCTCCTCAGCAATTCTGTCTCATCTTCTACTAGCTGCAAATGCTGTCTTAATTCTGACAAGGATTCACTCTGTTCTCCCAGGAGTGGATTGGTGGCCCCTGAGAAATCATCTCCTCTTAAGTCATCTAGCTCTGCTTTTAATCCTCTATTTTCTACTTCTAGCTCCACTATTTTTCTCCCAAGAATGTTAGCTTCCTCTTCCACAAGTCTCAACCGAAGCTTGAGTTCAGCTTCCCTTGTGGTAGGTGGACCGCCTGCTTCACCTTTTGGCAAAGGGCTGTCTAAATCACCATAAAATGATCTATATTTTTGCAGCTCGTGTTCAAATCTGTCCTTCTCCTTATCAATCTTAGCCATTTTCTTCCTCATCAAAGCTGCTTCTTCTTTGACAAACTGCAGCTGGCATTTCAAGTCTTCGTTGTCCTCCTTAGAAAAAAAAGAGGAAAGCAAAGAATTTGAAGAAAGTTGATGTAAAACAGGAGACCTCCAGTGGATGGTCTTAAATTACAAGATGAACAATTAAAGATACGTGGCTTTAAATACACAAAGACTTTCCTGTGACCATTTGTTCATTAATCAGTAAATCAAATAAGGGGAAATAAATATTAAAATTTGAAAGGAGAAAGACTATTTTACTCGCCATTAAACCCTGTGCAGCCCTCAAAAAAGGCCTTTTGAAGGTATCTTGTAAAAATAACTTGCAACACTGTAGTAGATATCACATTGTTAAAAAATCTTGAAATCTGTACACAAAGGGCCTATAATCTTATTTCACTGTTGCTCCATTTACTCATTTTGCCTAAAATATTTGGAGTACATGAAAACTGGTGGGTTTTTATTGCAGCACAAGTAGTTCATTTAGGTAGATCTTGACATCATGTCTTCTCACTACATGATTTGAGGATAAAAGTCTCCATTTCGCAGCATGTAGAAAAACAAAAATCAGAGCAAAAAAGTGTAAATCTGAAAATCACATTTCCAGAGTGTCACTAAAATCTCCACATAATGATCCAGATTACTGTTGTTTCAACATACCTCTGTTGGTGTTTGCTGTGACTTTTTCTCTGATTTTTGTAGGTCTTTGCTCCCTCTTCTTTTCAATGACTGCTGAAACAAGAACAAAGTGAGCGGAACTGCATATTTCACTGAAGAGCTACATAATTTAGTCATTCTGTTTAAACATAGTGAAACAAATGCAAATACAAAGCTAGTAGCCTCTTGCAGCTCCTGTGATGTCAAATAGAGAGGAGAGACACTGCTGCCTAAAAACGACACAGCAGAAGCACTGCATTAGTGAAGTATTGGTTTAATCAGTCTGCAACATTTTTTTATTCAACACATTTTGAAACAAACACATAATAAATGCTTAGCACCCTTATCATCACATGACAGGTAAGAAAGGAAATATATCCAACGGTAACCCCAAAAAAATGGAAAACTGAGGCAAGCAGTAAAACCAGTGCCATAGGTAAGCCACACAAAGCATTGCCAGCGACTTCCCCCAGCTAACCTGAGGACAAGGACATCTTTCTCTGCATCCCACCCACAGGCCTCAAGCTTGCAGTGGACTGCTGCTACAGCTCTCCTAGGCATAAACTGCAGACAAAGCAGGCAGAAAGATGCATACATCTGGTCACTAGATTTGTTCTGTTCTCCAAACATATTCAATACCTATTTTAAGTTGCTTGGACTACAGATTCCTAGTGAAAGGCAAAGCAGATTTACTTGCGACAAGCACAAGACAAACAAACCTATCCACACCATACAAGTGAGCTACTTTTTATGGAGCTAAGATGAAAAAAATGGTGAACAGAAATTCCTGATTTTAGAGCAGGATGCACTGAGTTCAAAAGTTACTAGGAAAAAAATCTTGTAACTGCTAACAATGAAAAGTTCATTAGTGGGCAAGTGGCAGTAGTGGAAAACAACTGCAGCAATCCCACTGTCAACACACAATTTAGATCATCAAGAAAACAGCAGGGAAGAGGAAAGTGAGTGAGAAGATGTTAATACATAACAACCCACTTGCAGCTGTTCCCAGGTTTTATGCTTCCCAGGTGAAACGTAGCTCTTGCAGCAGGCAGTGATATAACTACCTCCCTCTGAGACTATTCTCTGGGATGAGCAACCTTTGTGCCACTGAATACTGAGAAACATGCATTTCCCTGTGCCAGCCAGGGAAAATCCAGTGGTATATCCAAAAGTCATGCAGTTCCACCTAGTGGGAATTAAAATCTGTTCACAATCCTCAAGGAACAAAGCACAATGGGCAAGTATACTGTACATTGCTGCTGCTACCAATTGTTTTCCTTCTTCTGCAGGTCAGCCTCAATACAACTACTATGCCCCAAGGACTGCTCCCACCAGAGGAAAACTTGATACCACAGAAGTGATTGGCACATAGATCTAAGAAACCATAAGAGATGAGGCTTCTTGATCCAATTCACTACAGAGTTGTACCAGAATAAAAATAACCTCAGATTCAGAATGAGAATTCACAGGTATAGCCACCAAGAACCAGAATTGAAACTTTTATGTCTCTTGAAAATACGCAGTGCTCTCAATAGATAAAACAATAAAACCAAAGATCATTAGAATCTCAGCTGGATACCTATGAGAGGATTCCAGAAGAATCCAGAAAAAGTCACAAAAAATAGTTAAATTGATTCTTTCTTTCAAAATAAAGCCAACGATACAGGGATTAAGTCTACAAACAAAATTATTCTTCTCCAGGGTCACCCATTAATTACCCTACTGCAGAATTGGTATGTGCACGTGGAAAGTTTTTTTTATTGCTTTCCTAATCGAATTGGCAAATTTATAAACTTTCAGACGTGCAGATTCCTGGTATATGTCACAATCCACTATAAAAAGCTCATTTTCAAGTCAGTTATTACTGCAAACTTTTCTGGAACCAAGTTCTTGCCAGTGCCATCCACTAATAAAGTAATTAGAGGATAATTAAACTATGTATGTTTGATTACCTAAATTCCTTCCCGCCAAGCCCAGCATCTCTTCGAACAAAATGAGCTTCTAAAATGCTGGGACACAACTTCTTGTGTACCCTACAACATTTTAGGATATGAGATGTATGAAAAAGTTTTCAATGACAAAACCATTAAAAAAGAGAAAGTTCAGAGAGCAAAAGTTATTTTTCTGAGTTTGACATAAAACTAAAACACTTGATTTTCTCCTTTCTCTCAATGTTTTTTATTTTAAAGTCCTTTTCTTCTTTTGTTGTCAGCATAATAAATTTTTAACTTCATTAATAGTCGTGACTACTCTTTCTTCCATTTCTCTCATGTCCTGTACTACCGCTGTCTTTCAATTCAGTTGTCAATATGTTAAACAATTTATTCCCAATAATTAAAAAAATACTTCAAAACAAAACAGAAAAAAAAAAGTATTCAAATAAACATACTGCAAAACCAAAATCAGCAGTCCAGACTCTTGCAAGTGAATGTTCCCATTTTCCCACTGGATACTACTGAAACTGCACACTGTTTATTTTGATATACTAAATAATGTTACACAAGGCTATTTTAGCCAACTTCATGTACAAACGTTGTCTGTTCAAAAAGCTTCATCGTCTTTTTCATCGTCTTTTAATATATTTCTCCACTTGTTTGGATAATTCTCCTTTTTCCATGTCACAGGGTACAGCAAGAAATACTGCAGTGCCACTGAAGGCTGCCTTGTTGTTTCCCAAGTACAGCAAAAAAGTCTGCCCATCAAATTCTAGAATTGTTTTGAAAGTGTATAATTTAAATTACCCTCTGTTACATTGAGTTCAGTCTGTTTAATGAGTATGATTCTTAAATTAAAAAAAAAAAAAAGACTGCATTTGCACTATCTAATTTGCAATGCTTTCTAGAGAGCTTTATGGTTGTAATAATCTTAAACCAAGTCATCCATCTTCAGGAAAAAAAAAGAAGAATAAGCAAAAAATGCACATCATAGTGTTTCTGCAATGGAGATTTTGCTAAACTGCTCAAGTAATAATGAAATATTCCAAAACTGCTAGAACAATAGGACCAGCAGCTGGGGTATGTATTATTGTGCTGTATAAGCTCTGCTTACCTCTGAACGTCTAGGAAGTACAACTGAGTCTGACCTGACTCCTAGCATTCACTGGTTTGAGCACACATGAGGTTACATTAATGTTCTGACAATGCTGAGAAATTTCCACAGTATAGATAAGGCCATAGACAATGTTTGCACTATATGCACACCTGATCACATGACAGGAGCAATCCTGTTGTGATTTTCAGGAGCATCAATTCTCCAGTGACCTTCACTGGACTTTATCCAATGTCTTGTTCGAGATGCTAAGCGCTTCTCAAGACCAGATGGCAAAATCCTTCTCTTGCGAGCCTTAAAATGCAATCCAAATGTGCATTTCCAACCACCTACGATGCTGAGTGCTTCAGAGTACAAAAAGACCTGAAGTCTACTTTATAAAAACCACAGCTCAATGAAATGACAAAATGATGCTGCACTGAATATCAAAGCTTTAAAATGAACTAATTTCTCACTACTTTGTACTACAGGAAATCTCTCTGCAATTAATAAAGAAGCTGAATAGAATATACCATAGTTTTTCAAGACTTCTGGATTGATTATTTCAAGTCTGATCTGAGGATAGATGATCTAAAAAAACAATGTAAGCAAACACAAGAGGAATTGTCAAAAATATAAGGGAACTTATGAGTGCACAAGGTTCCCCTGCCAGCCCTTATCCCTGCTCACAGACCAGGCCAAGGCAAAGGGTGTGCAGTTTCTGAATCTCTACAGGTGCAACCCACCATGGTTGTACTGCACACACTTGGTAGTTAGCTACCTCTTAAACACTGCGACAGATCTACAGAGTTTTCAAAAATCAGAGCAAAACCAATGCCATCTTTACAGTCTTTAAAAGTCACTGAATATTTTGGGACTGCACAACTTGCCTCTGTTTGGCACAGACTGATCATTATCAGGAAATAGAAATTCATCTTCAGACTTTCTCTGTTCTTTCTCTTCAGTCAAGTATAGTCAGTTAGACTGTGGATCTGGATCAAAGCAGACAAGACAGATTTTTCAGTTTACTGCCACTAACTCTAATTCAGTGTATTACACATACAGTTAACACTAGATGGATATTCTCCATGGTGGTAAACTGAAATACACTTTCTCCTCAAAATAATCTTTGTATTTAAAATGTCCCCTTTACTCTGTAAATCTACCAATCTATTTCAGATACAGACTCCTTAAACTATCAGCCACTTTGGTAGTTGTTTGCCTGCAACAAACTCCAGGCACTGGCTTTGTCATTGGCACATAGAACTACACAAACACTTTTCTCTTTCCACTCTTCTTGAAGAGCAGTTACCACAAGTATTCCAGCATTTGACTTGCTTCCAAGAGCTGCAAGAAATGCGGAGGATAAGGGAAATGCAAAGAAGCATGGCACCCAAGTTCAAGAACCAAACAAAACTGTAGGTCTAACCATTCCCCTACCCACATTAGAAACACTCCCTTCATATTAAAACGGGCATAACTGAAAACACTGCTGAAGAACAATATGAAATGAAGGCAATCAAAGAGAGAATAACAATTCTTAGTCTTTGAATGTCTTCATATTTTAGAAAAGAGTAGCCACCCTACCATATTTGTATTTTTTTATTTGCATTTATTTATGAATTACTACAGATATCACTGTCAGATCCTTTGCTGTTATCCATTTGTCAGTTTTAAGAAAAAAAATAAGAGGGAAAAATATACATCTTTATCTAGAGAAAGCCCTTATATTTTGAAGAAAAAACAAACTGACGAAGCAAATAATGAGAACTTTGCAAGTACAATCAGGTAAAAAGATGAAAGCTGCCTTTTAAAAGCTCTTTATATAATCAGATCAAATAGCCAGCAAAATCTGACACTTCACTTTCTGTGACTGCATGCTTCTTCATCTACCAATACACATGAAAGTAGTGAAAGCAAGTTCTCTGAAGAGGAAGCTGTCCTCTGCCATTTGAGCAAACTGGGCCTCGTTATAGATGCAGAAATCAAAGGTAGCTTACACATATCTCTCTAATACTGAAATGCAAGAACAAATCTCAGAACACCAT